TGGCAGGAGTGGATGGGTACGAAGGGTACTAGTAAACACCTTACCACAACAAAGTATGGTCAGACCCAACAGTTACTGTAGCTTAGGTAGGGGTGTGCTGCTTTGGGGTCACTGTGGCACCTGAAGGATGAATGCTTTGACTGGCATTCTCTGGTACTAAGCTCTGGAGATCATTTGCTTGTTGACTGGGCACACATTGGGGGCACATGGAAAGTGAAATAGTTTACATAGCTCACAGATAACAGAACAACCCTCGTGAGAATCAGCACAGCTCACAGCCTGGAACGGTGTCAGAACTTTAGAGTCTGTACTTTGATCAGGAGTCACCTACCATACTAACAGAAACCTCCAAAGCCCAAGGCCCAGCCTAGCTCATTTCCCACTGGGCTTTCCTGTGACCAGCATTGTAAACACATGAACCTACTTCACCTTATGTCTGCTCTTAGCTCATTTCCCACACAGGAACATGGAGTCCCAGGCAAGTATGAGCCCCATAATAGGACTGGGTCTGACCAGCTTCTTCCTGACATGCTCCCTCTTTATCCTCTCCCTGGGTTTTCATCCCTCAGGTCTCAGCCACAACTTTGCCCCGGACATGATTTTTCGCACCTGCAACTGAGGCTGCACCCTTAGAGTAGATCCCCAGTCCTGACACCTAAGGCCAGAAAGAATCTCAGAAAAGTGCAATATAATGTAATATCATAATTGAAACCACCATTTTGTAAGTTAAGCAAACACAGAAACAAATGAAACATTCCTGCCTCTGGTCACATCTCTCAGTTGCTGGAAGTCCATGACCTTGGCTGGGAAACTATGAGATAGGTGGGGAGAGGGGCTGCTCTGAGGTCAGGGAGGGTCAGTACGGAGAAGACAGATGTGGAGGGTAGTGGACACAGTCCTGCACTCTGTGGGTGATCCAGCCCCTCGCTGCAAAAGACTCTGTACAACCTGGTTCTGTTTGTGCATCAAGCCCTGGTTAGCCCAGGAAACAGCTTCTGCTTGAAGCCCTGCACAGGATAGCATGGGAGTTTAATAACTGTGGGTGAGGGCGGTGCTTCACTCCCTCTCCCGCAGAGACTGCAGTTCCTGTAACCCACAGGTCCCCACTCTCATACCTGAAAGGATTTCAAGTAATTTAGGTCCCTAGCCCAGGAGCACGTTTGTCTCTGTATAAAAACAATGGCATGCTAACTGTAGGCAGACAAGGTCCTGCATTGTCTGAGACCACCACACACAGGCCTTTAAGGAAAAAAAAGCAACACCCACTTGCTAGGGATGGGAGCTGTGCACTGGGCTTCTTCGGAACTTCCCAAATCACTGTGTGATTCAGGTTAAACACTGAATTAGAGCTGTGTTCAATTGACAAAAATACTGTGCAATTTTGCACATAAGGACACAAAAATAAATGAACACTTTTCAGGTCAGAGAAGATCTTGTGTCTTCTGCCACCCCAGCTAGCTTCTTTCCCTGTTTTATCAACGCATTTGTATTCCATTTCCACTTGGCCTGTGGCAGAGGGCATTACCCAGCACTGGCCTCTTAACTTTCCTGTGCCTCACTTTCTACATCTGCAAAATGGGAAAGATTAATCACACCTTCATCATTTCCCCAGGGCTTAGGATGCAGGCGCATTTCTCCATGAGGTTCTTTAACTTTACAGAAATGTTTCCTATGAGAATCCTCTCTGTCTGTCTGTCTCTCTTGGTCTCTGTCTCTGTCTCTCTGTGTCTCTCTCTGTGTCTCTGTCTCTCTGTCTGTGTTGTCTCTGTCTCTCTGTGTCTCTCTCTGTGTCTCTGTCTCTCTCTCTCTCTCTCTCTCTCTCTCTCTGTGTGTGTGTGTGTGTGTGTGTGTGTGTGTGTGTGTGTGAGTATCATCGTCTTCGGAGACCTCTGGGGTCTGGGAACTCGGGACCCCAAAACTGGGCTTGCACAGGAGTAATTTCAAAGTTAACTTGCAGACTATCCCCTAGGAGGGCCAGAGCACAAAACTATTAGCATCTCCTCAGAGGATCTGCGCAATTGCTGGTGCCAGGGAAGATGCTCTGGCCCCGCACTCTGAAGGCGGGACCTTCACAGAAAGTTAGGCTGCTTGTCAGCAGAGCAGCTAGCAGGTCTGTGGGCCTGGGGCCCAGGTACTGACTGACCCTTCCCTGCATGCTGTGAGTATCAGGTGCACCTCTCCCACACCTGCGCACCTATCACAGTCACTGGGTGCATTGCCCTGAGCTCTGCCCACCTGCGCTCTGCCCACCTGCACTTGCAGGCCCTCTGAGTCCCTGCACCACCTCTGCCTCAGCTCAAGCCTCAAGAAGGTAAGGAATCGCCGGGACCACAGGGCAAGCTGTCATTCATGTGTTCCTTCTTCCTATAAAATTAAGGCAGGGATGTCACAGAGCTTGTGCGAGCCTGGGTTCACTGACAGAGTCTTGTATACACATGCTGAAGGAAGTTGTGTTTCTGGGTGGGTAACAACACACACACATACATGAGGGCTACACATCATATGGACACAGCGCATGATTCAAAAGAACAGCCTGAGCTAGAGAAAATAACATCAATCAAATCAAATTCTAAAACACACTCAGAAGCATCCTGCCACAGCTCCTGCAGTGTGTGGGCCCAGGGTTGAGAAGAAGAAAGGAAAAAGCCATCTTCTTAGCCAGGGGTGACAGCCAGGGGCTGACTTCCTGGGTCGGTTCTTCTGGACATTTCTAAATTCTGGGAGTGCCTGGGGCTTGGTAATCAGCATTTTTTGGCGGGGAGGGTGAGTAGGTAGGGGAAAGCTGTGATATGATGATGATGATGGTGATGATGATGATGATGATGATGGTGATGATGATAATGGTGATGATGATGATGATGATGATGATGATGGCGATGATGATGGTGATGATGATGATGGTGATGATGATGATGGTGATGATGGTGATGATGATGATGATGGCGATGATGATGATGGTGATGATGATGGTGATGATGATGATGATGATGATGATGGCGATGATGGCGATGATGGTGATGATGATGATGATGATGGCGATGATGATGGTGATGATGGTGATGATGATGGTGATGATGGTGATGATGAGTATGTGCACCCATCAAGGGAAAACACAGAAAATACAGCATTTGTGCCCCCTCTTCCCATTTCAGTTCACAGGTTTCTAATTTATGGGACAGAGTCAACTTTCAAATAATGGGAACTAAGCCAGAAGAAAGCTTCTATAGATTTCTTTTTCACTTTTCTATTTGTTCAACTGACTTAAAAATCATTCTTTGTTCCTATGTGTATATAGCATCTCCTCCTATTTTTGTTTCTCCTTCATTTACTATTTCTGCCCGGGGTCAAAGGGATGGGGGAATAAGTTTTAATGAGGTGGGTTCTGGGGAAGGGTCTTGTTCCAGTCAATGCTGAGGTTCCCAGTGGTTGCTTTTGTCCATTTTCTGAATGTAGGGAATTCTTGTTGCATGACCAAATTTTATATACACTTTTATGGTCATTCTTTTCTTCCTTTCTCTTTTGCATTCTTTTTTCCTTTTTGTCTTTTTTCTTCCGTTCTTTCCTTCCTTCCTATTTCTTTTGTTTTCTTTCTTTTTTTTCTCCTCCTTCTCCTCCTCCTTCTTTGTTTTTTTGTTTTTGTTTTTTTGTTTTTTGTTTCAGGGTTTATTTGTGTAGCCCTGGCTATGGCTATCCTGGAACATAATCATACACTCCACTTTCTTTTCTTTTCTTCTTTTCTCCTTTTCTCTTCTCTTTCTTTTTTGCTCTCTTCTCCCCACTCCCCTCTTCTTTCAAAGTTCAGTTTAGTCTATTATTTTCTGTCCTTGCTCTGGACTCTTCCAGGTGCCTCTGACTGTACACCCCTAATGTCTACAATAAGAACCTTTTTCTCAGCCATATCTTGAAGCAGCCATGTTCTTGATTTATATAGTTTTGTCAAAAGTTCTGTTATTATATTACCATAGCTGGGTCTGCAGGTTCTTTCCCTACTCGGTACAGAATACAGATGGCTATGCAGTTCAGAGAGCCAACTTGATATTTCACTAGATAGCCAATGACAGGCACAGGTCAGCTTATATTCTAAAGGACACTGCTCCTTTCCCAGAACAAGTGTGCTCTCTGAATGGTTACTCATTCAGGCTGAGTTATAAGGGTATCTAGACCACATAGATCTGGTCTGGAATATCACCACCCCACCCTCCCTTAGTTGGGCAGTGGGGAATATGAAGTAACTTAATGACTAGCACCAAAGGACTGTAGTTTCCAGAGTCCAGGGTTTAATATTTGCATGCCATATGACTAGCAAAACAGCTGGTTATCAGTTATTTCAAAGTTCAGTCTGGGAACATTTAATCTCATGATCCTGGTTTTAAACTGAGATTATGTAACTTTGCCAAAACCTCTATCATCCATCTTACCCACTCTTTCACTCTCCAGCTTCATACATGGGCTCAGATAATTCCCTCTTACCAGAAGCAAAGGAAGGTGTTGTCCAAACCCATGGGAGGACAGTCACAAAGCCTGAGGGAGCACAATTCCCAAGCCTGGCAGCCTGAAAGGTAGAAAGATCCCTTGCCAGTTGTGCGTTTTCCTGATGACAGGGAAGTGAGCAGAGACAAGCAATAAGGATGCAGAGAGAAGCCAACTGGGTACTGGAGTCCACTCCCCAACTCACATCCCCACCCTCCTCATCCACAACCCCACCCCAAATCCCTACACATTCTCACACACAGACACTGACTCATCTTACCCAACCCAGGGTGGGTCAATGACAATGCAGTGAGCTCCTGGTAGCTGATACTTAGAGTCAATAAAAGGACACACTAGCTTAAATTCTTTCAGGTTCAAGGAAGGATTACATCCTGTTCAGTCAACTCACTTATCTGGGGACAGAAGATACCAGGCAGCTATTTAAGGACACAGGAACCAGGAGTGACTCTCGGGACCAGAAAATAGAATCTCATGCCCAGGTAAATGAGCAAACACAACAGATGGCAAGTTCCTGAGCTCAGAGTCCAAGGCCCAGGTCAGGCTCAGGAGAGCAGAGACCGCCTCTGGAAGTCCTTCTCTGCACTAACCAAACCTTTCTTGTCCACTGCCTGTAACCAGCAAGTGGGAACAGAAGGAGGAGAGACCAGCTAAGTGAGACTGCCCAGCATGTCAGAACATCTGGCCTCATCTCATCAAGTCCAGTCTCAGAGATGCCAATTGTTTATTCAGAGCATTTTCCCACAGCCCCCAATGGAAGGAACATCTGTTGAGAGGAACATTGATAAAGGTAGAACTGTCTGGGTCAAGATGGGGTTTGGGAAGGAGGTAGAAAGATCTGCTCCCCCAAGATCTCTTCCAGGACTTGATGCCAACAGCCTCACTCTGAGCTTTTCCCGCAAAAAATAGACTTTCTTTTTTATAAAAGTTTTTTTTATTTTTTGATAATTTCTCAATATTTAATGAATAATTTACATTATGTTTCCTGAGAGAGAACAAGATAATATAGAGCAGTTTTCAACTTTAGCTATTAAGTACAACTATTGAGGAATTCTTATTTTGTTTTTGTTTCTAATCTTCGGGTTTTTGATTTTTTGTTGTTTTTATTGAGATATATATTTTTCTATGCTCCCCTATCTTCCTCTCCCCTCCCCTTCTACCTTCTCCTATGGTTTCCATGCTCCCAATTTACTCAGGAGATCTTGTCTTTTCTTATTTCTTATGTAGATTAGATCCATGTATGTCTGTCTTAGGGTCATTGTTGTTGTCTAGGTTCTCTGGGATTACGAATTGTAGGCTGGTTTTACTTTGCTTTATGTCTACAAGCTACTTATGAGTGAGTACATATGATAATTGTCTTTCTGGGTCTGGGTTATCTCAGTCAATATGATGTTTTCTAGATCTATCCATTTACCCATAAATTACAAGATGTCATTGTTTTCTTTCTGCTGTGTAGTATTCCATTGTGTAAATATACCACATTTTATTTATCCATTATTCAGTCAAGAAACATTTAGGTTGTTTCCAGGTTCTGGATATGACAAACAATGCTGCTAAAAAAAACATAGTTGAGTACCTGTCCTTTTGATACAATTGAGCATCCTTTGGGTATATACCCAAAAGTGCTTGGTATTGCTGGGTTTTGAGGGATGTTGTTTACTAATTTTCTGAGAAATTGCCATACAGATACCCAAAGGGGCTGTACCAGTTTGCATTACCACCAGCAATACAGAAGTGTTCCCTTTACCCCACAACCTCTCCAGCATAAGTTGTCATCAGTGTTTTTGATCATGGCCATTCTGACAGGCATAAGATGGAATCTCAGAGTTGTTTTGATTTGCATTTCTATGATGACTAAGGATGTTTAGCATTTCTTAATTGTCTTCCAGCCATTTTAGATTCCTCTGTTGAGAGTTCTCTGTTTAGGTTTGAATGGCCTTTTTTTTTTTGTTGGATTATTTGGTTTTTTGATGACCAATTTCTTGAGTTCTTTGTATATTTTGGAGATCAGCCCTCTGTCTGATGTGGGGTTAGTGAAGATCTTTTACCCTTCCATTAGACAGGTCTGTCAGACAGAAAATTAACAGAAAGATAAGGGAACTCACAGATGTTATGACTCAAGTGAGCTTACCTGACATATATAGACTTTCTTCTTTAATTTGCTTTTGGATGCCTTAGTGCAGTCCAGAGCAATCTCCTCTTCAAAGAGCTCCCTTTAATGGACTCAAAGCCAACTGATCCTGAACTTCAATTACATCCACAAAATCTGTTTTGCCACGCAATATTTAATAGTGACAGCTGTGCTGTCTCACCCAACTCTGTCCTGGAGAGTATGGTAGAAAATCCCAGGCAACCATAGCAAAATTTCATGTATCACATTATAAAGTCAGCCATCATCCATACCCAAAATATCTAGTTTTTTTTAATTAATGTGGGCTTCCTGAACAAATATCTTTTAGGTCAGCTTAAATATCCGGCAGTTCTTAAAGTCTGGGGTCAAAGTCTTGGTCAAGTCAGGTCCTTCTCAAAACATTCTTCTTGTTATACAAACAGATATTTTCTTATCCCCTATGCTGTATCTTCTGGGGCAGAGAGATTATCACTCAAATCTCCTGCCATAAATGTATTGAACCATCCATAAGGATGGAAGTCTTGTGAACTAATGTATTACTTTTCAAATCACCAAACCACAATGACCATGGCAACTCTTACAAAGGAAAACATTTAATTGGGGTTGCTTACAGAATGTTAGTCCATTATTTTCATGGTAGATGGCATGTAGGCAGACACAATGTTGAAAAGGTAGTTTAGAGTCCTACATCTTGATTTAGGCAATAGGAGACTATGGGTCACAATGGGTGTAGACTGTGCATCTGAGACATCAAAGCTCACCCTCACAATGACACACTTCCTCCAAGAAGGCCACACCTACTCCATCTAGCCCATACCTCCTAACAGTGCCATTCCATATGGGTCGGGCATCAAACACATGAGTCTGTGGGTGCTGTACCTATTCAAACCACTACATAGGGCTTTTGAAGGCTAATGAATTAGTCCATGCTGTAGTAAATTCCACAGCCAGTAGCCCTTAAGTTACCCATCCACTTGGGCATGGCTTCTTATACTATGCCAATGTAAACCATGTGTGCATTTCCTCTCTCTTCTGGCTGCCTGATTCAGTTCCTATTCCCTGTTTGTGCAAAGGACTGTAATCTGTGGGTCTACCTCTAAGTAAATAACTTACTATTGTACTCCATTCTGAGCTAGTTTTGGATTTTTTTAGTGTCCATCTTCATCTGGGGCCCATGTGGATCCCAACTCAATAACTACCAGTTGGAAAGGTCTAAAAGGCCCAAATGGCCCACAGCCCAGAATGTCTCCCACTCCTTCCAACATAACTTGTTTTAAACTACTAAGCAGTTTTTTTAAAACCCCCAACACAGTGGAGCTCAGTGCACATGACAACTTGGAAATTTCCCAAGTGTGCGCACATTACCCTTGCCCATTTTCACATACCCTTCCATGCAGCTACATGCACAGCTTCCAGTTTGTGCTCCCTGCTCCTGAGTTCTGGTCTCCGTGCTATGGGTACTGAATTGATTTAATTGCTTTTAGTTTATCAAGCAAAGCATATTTGTCAGTAATTAGCCAGCACCAAGGCAGAAAACCAAAGCAGTGTAGCTCTGTTCTTGGCACCACCAGTTGTACCACCACTGGTCACAACTCTGAAACCACACACCTGCTGGACAATAAAGATCATTATACCTAAAACAATGTACCAGATGTCATAACACAGGTAAACATTTTATTAATTAATAAATCAATAACCTTGAAAGTTATATAATGGCAGATAATAGTTCCATGGAAAATTTTAGTAACTTTTTTGCTAATACTATGGATTGTATTCTGGAAGGCATATATGGTTATTGTGACACATCCATTTATTTGATATTGGGATTCAGGTTTTTATTCACATTATGTTCTTAAGAAAATTGTTTGACAACAATGCCAAGAATGAGGCACCTTTAGAGATAACACACTCTATACAGACTAATAATGAACAACTAGCTGACTGTATTAATACCATTGAAAATCAAAAGTGACCTGAAAAAATGAATACTATTGAAAAGGATTACATTAATTTGTCAGAGAAAATTTAATCCATGTCAAAGGGTATTGAGCAATTATCTGAAAGAATTCATACTGTTGAATTTGACAATCAAAATCTGTTAAAAGTTATGATAGTTTAGCAGATAGAGTATCTCTCCAGGATGGCAATCTGCATGCTATCCAAATAATGTCCAAGGATGTGATGTTATCTTTAAAGGAAAAATTTCAGACCTTAGAATCACATGTGCAGAATGAGGACCAAAGGCTATGTGCCTCAATGAAATCACTAAAAATATATAGAGGCCAGAAGATTAAGGCTTTACAAAAGAGAGTTATAAAAACATTTGAAATGATTGGAGAAATTATTGGAGCTGATGAACAGGGAAAGAAGGCACAAGGACAGGATTCAACATTGCCAGTCTCTGTCAGAGATGACTTCCCCACGGTTTTAGCTTCCTACCCTGTAGTCTACTCTGACAAAGCATCAAGTTCTAAATGCTCAAAAGTATCCAAAGAATGTAGATGGATACATATAGGAATGGATGATCTAAAAGAAATTAAGCTAGCAGTAGTAACTTATGGTTTGCATTCAGCTTTTGTTAGGGAGATGGTAAAGACATGGGTTTCTTGCATTAAAGCTACCACACAACACTGGCTTCAGTTAGTTTCAGCAGTCCTGGGTGATGGGTCTCAACTAATGTGGAAATGTTATTTCAGAGAAGAGGCAACAATTTCAGAACAACAGGGAAAGCAAAAGAACCTGAGACTTCCTAAGCTCAAATTCTTGGTGAGGTCACTTATGCTGAACCACAGGCTCAAGCTCTTTACAATGAACAAATCTTGTCTCTATGCCACAAAGCAGCCTTAAATGCTTGGGACAGGATTCAAGTACAAGGGAAACAAATTGAATCATATATGGGGCTTAAGCAGGACTAGAGAGAACCCTTTAATGACTTCTACAAAAATTAAACAAGACTGTACAAATATGAGTAACAGTCCCAGATGTTAAACAAGTAATTATTGAATTTCTGGCTTTGGAAAAGGTCAGCTTCGAATGCAAAAAGATACCTGGGCCTTTAAAAGTTAGATCAGCACCAGTGGATGAATGGATCCTGCATACGATGAACATTTTACTATAATAGTGAATCTTGGATAGGAGAAGCAATTTCCAAAGGAATGAGGAGACACCAAAATGCCAAATGTTTTAATTATAGTAGAATAGGACATTTGATAGGGGATTTTAGACATAATTCCTAGGAATAATATCTCCTCTGGAAATGTCAAGAAAAGGAGAATTTAGCCTTCAGGTGTATGTAGAAGGAGTGGCAAAAGTCAACAGTAGACCAATGAATTCAGATCAATAAAAGACACACAAGACCACCCAATACCTTAGTGAACTTCTTGGGGGGCCTCTCACAGGACCCCAAGTCAAAAGTGGTCTAGCTATTCCCAGTTACTATGCAGGACATGGCTCACTAGAAAAAAAAATCCAGAGCCTTCTGTAAAAAAAAAAAAAAAAAAAAAAAAAAAAAAAAAAAAACTGTTCTGGATGATGGAATAGACCTGGAGAAAGAGTCAAAAAACTCTAGCAGAAAATAGGAAATGTATATTTTGGCAGAATTCTATAAATGATCAAAGACCAAAGCTAAGAGTGCATGACATTGTAATTGAGGGATTACTAGACACAGGTGTGGATGTGAATATCATTACTCCAGAATCTTGGCATCCAGACTGGCCTCTTCAAAAGGCAGATAGAAATTGGACGCAGCGGAGACGCCAAGGGCGCAGACTCAGCAGAGACGTGGCACAGACTCGGCGGAGACATGGCACAGAGACGTGAACTTATATTTTTTGATGATCCAAGCTTGAAACAGTGAAGCCCACACTGAGAGCAGATCGTCCCACTACAACTAAATCAAGTAGGTTTTTTGGTGGCTGGCCTTCAGAGTGGTAGGCCTTTTGTTAAGGGTGTCCCTGGCGAACGGGGAGCCTGGTCCTGTCCCTGAAGAACCTCCTGAGTGGTGAGAGTGTTCTTGACCCGCAGCGGGACCCAGGAAAAGGAGGGGGGCATTCCCCAACCCCCTTGATTCCCCGGTCAGTCTGCAGGGGCTGCTCCTCCTCTGCTGGGGCTCCTCCTCCTCTGCTGCGACCTCTCTCTCCCTGGCCCATCCCAGCTTGCACCCAGGGGCNCTGAGTTACAGAGTAATGGCATAGGGTGAGGCTATTGAGCATTCAAGAATTTCAAGGGCTGGTAGATTCTTCTATATATCACACATCTACTTGCTCTTGTACCAGCTGTTCTAGAGCCTGCAACTTTTCCTCAGCTAGAGGCCACTGCTTAACCTATATTGGTTTCTCAGTTAACCATTTTAAAGGTAGGGCTGTTGGTACATCTGAAGGTTTACTAATTGCTTTGTGTTTTTGTACAGCCCAAATGGCTGGTGTCCATCATCTATAATATCTTCTAATATTTTCCTCAGAAACATAAGATTTTATGGCTGCAGGAATGTTAATCTGAGTATTCCATTGATGTAGTAGGTCACAACCCCACAAATTCACTGCAATATTGGCTATATATGGTCTTAGTCTTCCTATTTTCCCTTCCAGACCTATGCATTCAACCCATCTCATGCTTTGTTTTACCCGAGATAGATTTCCAATTCCCAGGAACTGAACGTCTACTTCTTCTTCTTCTTCTTCTTCTTCTTCTTCTTCTTCTTCTTCTTCTTCTTCTTCTTCTTCTTCTTCTTCTTTTTTTTTGGTTTTTCGAGACAGGGTTTCTCTGTAGCCTTGGTGCCTGTCCTGGAACTAGCTCTTGTAGACCAGGCTGGCCTCGAACTCCCAGAGATCCGCCTGCCTCTGCCTCCCAAGTGCTGGGATTAAAGATGTGCGCCACCACCGTCCAGCTGAACATCTACTTCTTGAAGAGGTCAATTCAGATGCCAAGATTCTGGAGGAATGGTACTTATATCTGCACCCATGTAATAAGCCTTCAATAAAAATGCCATTTATATAAACTCTTAGCTTTGATCTTTGATCATTTATGGAAGTTTGCCAAATTTCCTCTCTCCTACTAGAGTTTTTTACTCATCCTCCACATTTAATCCATCATTCGGACCAATATTGCTTTTTACAGCAGGCATTGGATTTTTAAATTTTCTTGTTGAGACACGTTCTCCACTTTAACTGACAATAACTTGACCATATTTGTCATGGGGCCCTGCGAGAGGCCCCCCCATAGCATTTCCTGATGGTATAGAGTTACCTTGTCTATCTCATTGACCTACATTCATTTGTCCAATGTTGGCTTATGCCACACCTCCTACATACACTTGGAGCCCGAGTCCTCCTATTTCTGCCATTCCCAGAGGAGGTTTTATTCCTAGGAATCTGTTATTTACAATCCCTTCTCATATATGCCATTCTACCACAATTAAAACATTTGGTATTTTGATGTCTTCTCTCACCATTGGAAATTTCTTCTACCCATGCTTTAGTACCATAATCAAGTGTCTTAACATTCACTGTATGCAAGACCCATTCATCCATAGGTGCTAATCTGATCTTTAAAGGCCCAAGGATCCATTTCTACTCAACGTTGGTATTCTCATAAGCCAAAGATTTGATTATTATAGGTCTAGCTGCTGGGTCAGTTACCCCTATTCGTACAGCCCTAGTTAGTATTTGCAAAAAGTTACTAAAAGTTTCTCTTTCGCCCTGTTTAATTCCAGGGTATGATTCAACTCCCTTTCTTATTTCCTGAATCCTGTCCCAAGCCTTTAAAGCTGCTGTATCAGAGTAAGCTCCTTTGTCTAGAATTTGATCTAGGGAAATCTCAAGTCCATTTGCTTTTTCTTGTTTCTCTAAGATTCTTGCCTCCTCTTAAAAAAAAAAAAACACCTCTAAAGTAATTCCTGTCCACTTTCTATGACTGCCGAGATTAACTGAGCCCAATCTTGAGGCATTGCTTTGCTACTGAAAGCCCAATTTTTGACCATCTCCCTAACAAAGGACAAATGTAGTCCATAAGATACAATTGCTTGTTTAATTTTCTTTAGATCAGTCATGCATATGGGCTCCCATGTATATTCTTTGACAACCTTAGGGTACTTGGAGCCAGATACTTTTTCTGTTATTACTGAAAAGGCAGGCAGAACTCTGGGGAATCTATCCTGGAGATTTTTTACATACTGACAATGTTAAATTTTGCCTTTCTACATTTTGTTCCTGGTCATCAAATTTGATAATTTCTTCAAATTTTTCCAATCTGTTTACCATTGCCTTTTTAAATGTCTGGATTCCCTATCTAGTGTTCTGTTCTAATGCCCTCATTGATGATTTCAAGGTATGATGTAACAGGAGAAGCAGGCTGTTTGTCATCTTGGCCACCCGGCTATCATACCCCCAAAATAATCACACCAAAAGTGTATACATTTAAACACTGCCTGGCCCATTAGCTCTAACTTCTTATTGGTGAATTCTTACATCTTAATTTAACTCATTTCTATTAATCTGTGTATCACCATGTTACTGTGGCTTACCGGCAAGATTCTAACCAGCATGTGTCTCAGGCAAGAGACCCATGGCATCTCATTCTGCCCTTCTTCCCAGTATTTAGTTCTGTCTACTCTGCCTACCTAAGTTCTGTCCTATCAACTAGGCCAAAACAGATTCTTTATTCATTATCCAACGAAAGCAACACATAAACAGAAGGAACTCCTACACTAGCATGAAGTCTGTCCAGTAAAGATAATGTCTCATCCTTGGACATAATCTTTATAGCATACATATTACCTTCCTGTAGAGACATTCTATCAGCCAATCTGCCATATCCCTTTGACAGAGTCCAATTCATACATTCAACAGGGTAAATTCTCTCAAATAATGTTTCAGCACCCACTGTCATTGATTGGGTTTTATGTGCCAAATCATCTGTTTCCTTCTCTAGAGTGCTTAATCTTCCATTAAATGAAGTTGTATACTTCTTCAGATTTCCAAACTCTTTCTTGAGAAATGTGGTTTCAGTCTGTAAAGACAGAACCATTTCTCTTTTTTTCTTTTTTTTTTTGTTTATTTTTTTTTAGTTGCTGAAAAAAAATTTCAGCCTCCTCCCCATTTCCCATTTCCCTCCCCTTCCTCCCACACATTGCCCCCTCCCCCCCACAGACAGCACCATATAGACCCACAGAGCCCATTCTTCCTCAACCCACGACAGGGCCTATCTTCATTTATCAGACATCAGAGGATTCTCAGATACTGGTTTGTTGTTGTAGGCAGGTGAATCATTTGGTTGACATTGTGCCTTCATTCTACCCATTTTAGAAGTCATAAAACTGAGTCCCAGAATGCAGCTCACACACTTGCTCATCACAGGGGCAGGGCAAAGCATGAAGTAAAGTTAAAACAACTTGAACACTGACATTTTCTTTCCTATTTATTCTGCTTCATTTTTTGGTAGACAAAACAAGTTCAGAAGATTGTCTCAGAAGGTAGAGCAGAACATTGGTCACTTTCTGCTCCTCACAAGGAATTCATTTCATTGTGACTTCTGCCCTGTGGCTTAGCTGTCCAGATGGAGCTAAGTTCTTGTTCAGCAAAAGTGAGTGTTTTATTTTTCAGTGTTACAACACTAAGACTGGCAATTTCAAAGCTATCACATTCCAGGTCTCTAGAGTTTCAAGGTAATTGTGAAAATCAGAAGACCAGAGGTGCTTTTGTGTTCATTACTTTTCTCATTGCTATGGCCAAATACCTAAAGAGAAATGACATATATGGGTATTTACTTTGGATCCTGATTTGAGGTGATTCTCCTTTGCAGCAGGAATACATACACACCACTGGGAGCAATTTGTATCTGTGGTAGCAGGGTGTGAGATTATTACCCATAACTTGTGGATCAGGAGGCAGAGAGAGGACATGAAGTGGATGATGCCATAAACTCAACACTCATCCCCCAGGAGTCACTTGTAGCTCAGCCCCATCTCATAAAGGGTTCTACAAACTTTTCCAACAGCAGCATCAGCAGCAGACCAAGAGTTCAGACACATGAGCCTTCCAGTATCTCAATGTATTAAGAATTGCTTTTTGAGCATGCTTACTTAATGCAGCGAAGTCTGTGGCTAGTCCTCTGCTTGCACTGTGAATTCACAGCTGTCAGACCTACAGGCTGTCAAGCTGCATTATGACATTCTTTGACATGGAGTCACCAGAGGTCAGAGCTGAGGATCTTTTGGGAGATATGTTCTCATATACTGAAGGACAAGGAGTTTGAATATCCCATCAGTGAAGGGATGCCAGTTCCCAGAGCTGGGACCAGCATATAGAATCCCAAGGCTGTCAACATGGCACTAGGGGACAGCATGGCAGGCTCTCCTATGTGCTACATTTTTGTGGCATGGTTTCCATTTCTGTGTGCAAAAGAATCCAGAGTTTTCTTTCTTTCTATTTAATTTTTATATTTTATGCGTGGGTGTTCTGCATACCAGAAGATGGCATCAGATCTCATTATAGATATTTGTGAGCCACCATGTGGTTGCTGGGGACTAAAATTGGGACCTCTTGAAGAGCAGCCAACATTCCTAACCTCTGAAACATCTCTCCTGGCACTCCAGAGTTTTCTAAACTGTGGATCACTTCATCTAAACTCATCTATTTGACACATCACCTCATATTTTTTAAAAGTTTATTTTTAAATTGTGTATATGTGGGGTTTGGTATAATGCAGTATACATATATAATGTGTACTGTTTACACAGATTCACAGTTCTATTTCCTTAAACATCCATTTTTCCTTTGTTTGGTACTTTTTGGGCAAAATTTAAAAGTTTTTAGTTTAAGTATAAGGGAATTTTGTCTGCATTTTTATCTGTGCACCACATGTGTGCAGTGCCCACAGAGGCCAGAAGAGAGCATTGGATCCACTAGAACAGCAGATACAGGTGGTTGTTGGCAGGAAGTGCTCCTAACCATGAGCAGTCTCTCTAGCCCTGTGTTGGGAACTATCAAATACTTCTCTGTTAGTAGCTCATAAAGTATAAATTCTAGCCCTGGTGCTAGGCTTGGAATGCCAGAACAAAGCCCTCTGATCTTGTGTGTAGGTATCTGTTACTCTAGCCTCTTTCTTGGGAGACCTGGCAGTTTGTCTTTGTTTTTTCAGATGGACTTCATGAAGATGAGGCTGGTTTATGCTTTCATTCTGACGATGGGAGTTCTTTGCTTCTACTTCAGCATGGAGCCTTTTGAGGAACCACCATTTGTTCTCAAGAAAGGTCATGGGAAGTTTCTCCAGCTTCCAGATATAGACTGTAAGCAGAAGCCCCCTTTCCTTGTGCTGCTGGTGACTTCCTCCCACAAGCAGCTGGCAGCTCGAATGGCCATCCGAAAGACATGGGGTAGAGAAACAGAGGTGCGGGGACAGCGTGTGAAGACCCTCTTCCTCCTGGGGGCCTCAGACAGCACCAATGAGATGAATGCCACAGCCCAGGAAGGCAAGCAGTACCGTGACATCATCCAGAAGGACTTCAAGGATGACTATTACAACTTGACCCTGAAGACATTGATGGGCATGGAATGGGTCCACCACTTTTGTCCTCAGGCAGCTTTTGTGATGAAGACAGACTCAGACATGTTTGTGAATGTTGGCTATCTGACTGACCTGCTGCTGAAGAAAAATAAAACCTCCAGGTTTTTCACAGGTTACATAATGTCCAATTACCTTCCCATCAGGGAGACAATCAGCAAGTGGTTTGTGAGTAAATTTGAATATCCCTGGGACAGGTACCCACCTTTTTGTTCTGGTACGGGTTATGTCTTTTCTAGTGATGTGGCCAGCAAAGTATACAATATCTCAGAGAGTATTCCATTCCTCAAACTGGAGGATGTGTTTGTTGGACTTTGCCTGGCTAAGCTGAAGATACGGCCTGAGGAACTCCACACCAAACCAACTTTTTTCCCTGGTGGCTTACGCTTCTCTGTGTGCCGCTTTCGGGAAATTGTGACCTGCCATTCTCTGACACCTCAGAACTTACTCACTTACTGGAAGGCACTGGAGAACTCTCAGACACAGAACTGCCCTTCTTTTTGAGGGGAGCCTGTGGTGCAAACTTCCAATAACCTTTGGTGATACTTTGTGAAGTTCTGGGATGGCCTTGCTGGGAACTGTCAGGGGTAGGGAGAAGGAGAAGGAGGGGGAAGACAAAGAGTGCTATTCTCAATGCCCCACATACACTAGAGTGGATGTACACATAAACAGAGTCAAGACTTGTTCCCACTTGGCGCCCAGAGCAATATCAGATCTCATCTCTCAGGCTTTTGCACTGTTCTCAAGGTTTGAGACATGCTTTCATCTGCTCATTTCAGGGCTCAGTATACATATGAAGCCATGGATGTGATCGTTCTCATTTTGCAGGTTAGGAAGCAGCAGCCATGGCCTCTTACTTGTCCAAAGACTTCCAATCTTCAGACGGAGCAGAAATGAGAATCAAGTGCTATCAGAATTTAGTTGGTGGCCCCCAATGGAGTGTCCCATTCTTTTGGAGGGTGGTAAAGGGAGAAGCTTAGAGTTGGGGTGTCTTAAAGAGAACCAATATCCTTCAGGCCAGGCCATTTCTGTAGTCCCCTACCCCTCAATTCCCAATCCTACTTCTTTTTATATGCTAAGTCTGGGATGAACCAGCTTTCTCAGGCCTTTGCTCTCACTTGAATGATGTAGCTAGGCACTGAGTCTGCTAGCCACTTGGTACCCAATGCATCTTCAACAGGAGACCGGCACACCTGCAGACACTAGCTCACCTCCATGCTAGAAGGAAACTGATTTGTATGACCATATAAATCAGGCTGAGAAGACATTGCTGAGTCTTTCTGTATAAGCTAATCACACTGTTGAAATCCTAGCAAGGGTGTGGTCTCCTCTGAGCCTTTTGGGATATCTTCTCTTTGCTGCGGATATCTTGATGGATTGATGGTGTTCAGTTGCAGTTATGGAACACTTTAGTCTTCTAAGTTCAAACTCAAGGAAAGCCAGGCACAGGCATGGCCTGTATTGGTGTCCAAGAACTTTGCTGGAACCTGGACTGGTTCAAGATCCTGGGATGCAGACCATGGATGTAGGCCGAGTCTGTTGTCAGGATTTTCTGTCTTTCTTGGTTCCCACAGTTATTAAGTCCCAAAGAAATCACACAGAAGTCCACGTTAGTTATAAACTGATTGGCCCCTTATCTCAGGTTTCTTATTAATTCCTATAATTTATATTAGCCCATTATTCTTATCTATGCTAGCTAGCCACATGGCTAGGTACTTTTTTCAGTGAGGCAGTCACATACTGCTTCTTCTGTAGTGGACTGAGGACTGCAGAGGAATGGGCTTCCCCTTTCCCAGAATTCTCCTGTTCTCATTGACCCACCTCTACTTCTTATCTGGTTGTCCCACCTAGTCTTCCTGCCTAGCTACTGGCAAATCAGCCTTTATTTAAAATATAATTGACAAAATATAGACAGTTGTCCCACACCACCAGTCAAAGGGTTCTCCCTGCATCTGTGATCCTGAACCTGGCTCTTAACACTGCATTTATCACATGGTCAGAGATCTGCTGAGTGGTTTGGTTTGGAATTTAAAACTGAAGGTTTTAAGAGCTGCATAAAAACAGGGGCTCATGCCCATTCAGTCACTGTTACCAGACATGTAATCTTGGTCTGTATCATGGGAATTATTGTTTCCCCTTGCCCTGTACTTTAGTAGATTTTACTGAGTGCTTGGAGCCAAGGCCTCATGTGACTGTGTGACTGTAACGTTGCAATATGCTCTCTGAACTCAGGAAAACTCACTCAAGTCAGGACCAATACTCCTCCAGTCGGAGGAGGCTGGAACCTGCCTCCAGGGCCTCATTTCCACACGTGTCCCTGTCACTCCTCCGAGTCTCTTCCATAACTCTTGGGGGGAAATTGTTCTCTTTGTGACATTCTTCAAAATCCTACAGCACCAAGTTCTGGACCCTTAGTTCAGAATATGTGAAAATCTGAAATGTGAAAAAGAGAAAGGGTGATTGTTCCTGGGTGTGTACTAGGGACTACATACACCATCAAAACCAAACCAGGTCTTCTCTTGACAGGGAAGCCAAGGCTTGTAACAATATGGTGGCTTTGCCGTCTAAAGGGTAGAAGAGCTGGCATCAGGACCTGGCACCAGCCACTCTGTGTCAGACCTTCCCTTTATTCATTCCTTCATTAGCCATGTTTGCTCAATGCATTCACACACATCACGAGCAAGGTCAAGGTGAGGGTCTCCAGACAGCAGATCTGCGTGAGCATTCAGTGCAGAGAAGCTGGTCAGGCACAGGTTCTCTTGATCTATGCACAGTACACAGGAGCATAAGTAGGTGTGGTCACCTGTGCCCAGACTTGCTCTTGCATTGAAGATGCAGGCATTCTTTGCAGGTAGCTGCACTTCATTCTTACAATGAAACTGGTTGTCAGTGGAGGTAACTGAGGTGACTCAGTGACTCACTCAGGGCCTGAGATGCAGTGGAGGCCCAGCCCTCAGCCTTCTCCATTGGCACAACATTAACAACCTTCCTGCATGCTTACTTCTCTCAGAAGCCTGGGGCCTGTGCTACCCAAGGAGTCACCAGCATCTCCCTTTGCCCGCACACTGCCACCTCTGTCCTGGGTGTTGGCTAGAGTGTTGGTCTACTTCTTCATGCTTCTCTCTGATTCTCACTTGGCCCTGGGGTCCTCCATGGAATTATCACAAACCTCCCATTTAGACTAGCTTTATCATGAGGTCATGTGCATTTCACATGCGCACACATGGCAGACCCAGGTGTCTACATGCAGGCAGGAGGCTAGTTTTATTACTTGGGATGAGACATAGCAAGTGCCTACGAACTTCTCTTTAGAGTGTGAGGTTGTCTTGATCTCTCTCTTGCACAATCAGCTGCACGCTTGTCACAAGGCCAGGTGTGCTATGGTGGGGACATGAGCTGAAGGAGTGGCTCACAGTTGCACACCCAGAGGGTTACTGACCTCCAGCCTCCAGGCAGAAGTGTAACACACCCACCACCCTGTGAGGGAGCACAGCTTTTACCATCACAGCTGCACCAGTGGTCGCACTAGAGTGTCCACCGCTGGCCTCAGGATGCTGTTTTGAAAGAACAAAGCCAGGCTTCAGACATCATCTGGTTTCCCCACTGAGTCTGCAGCCTCATGACAGATTGATTAATTCACAAGCTGAATTTAATAAGGCAGCGGTTGGGCACAATGTAATAAATAGATGAGATGTTGCTTAGATCTTCTCCATCCCTCCTTTTGGAAGCATTTGCTTTCTCGTACCACATCTTTAAAATTAAGAACGAATTTCATGTACTCATCATATTGGAAATGGTGTAACAGGAGGAGTGGTCTGCTGGTCATCTGGGCTGCCCGGCTAGCTTACACCCAAAATAATCACAGAGAAACAGTATTCATTTAAACACTGCCTGGCCCATTAGCTAGAACTTCTTATTGGCTAATCCTTACATCTTAATTTAATCCATTTCTATTAATCTGTGTATCACCATGTGACTGTGGCTGACTGGCAAGATTCTAACCAGCATCTGTCTCAGGCAGGAGATCCATGGCGACTCTCACTCTGCCCTTCTTGCCAGCATTTAGTTCTGTCTCCTCCACCTACCTAAGTTCTGTCCTCTCAACTAGGCCAAGGCAGGTTCTTTATTCATTACCCAATGAAAGCAACACACAAACAGAACGAGCTCCTATACCAGAATGTTATCTTAGACTTCTCTACATTGAGTCTCCTGGTAGATGGTATGCTTACTCCTCTTTCTGGCTGGGACTTTGGCTTGGTATATGCAGTGGTAGAGGAGAGTCTTGTAATTATTCACAGGTCTTGAGGGGACTTCCCAGGAGGTCTCTGATACTGTTGTAGGTGCTGTGGGCATGCTTTTCGTCCCGCCTAGCTCCCACATGGCTAGCTTTACACCAGACGTAACAACACACAAACTGTATTCACTTAAACACTGCTTGGCCCATTATATCTAGCCTCTTCTCGGCTAACTCTCGCACCTGGACTAGCCCATTTCTAATAATGTGTGTAGCACCCCAAGGTGTGCTTACCGGGAAGATTCTAGCCTACATCCATCCTGGATCAGAGCTGCCTGGGAGAGGGGAGCATGGCCTCTGAGCTCACTTCCTCTTCCTCCCAGCATTCTGTTCCATTTACTCCTCCCACCTATGTTTTAACCTATCAGGGCCAAGCAGTTTCTTTATTTTTTAACCAATGACCTTCCTCCATCATGATAACAGCCAAGCTGCTGCATTCTGTGAAGGTGCTAGCCTGGGAGTCCCTTTTGGCCTGGGTAAGATGGTTCAGTGGGTTAAGGTGTTTGCTGCCAAGTTACCCCAGCAAATGCAATTCAGTCCTTGAGACAATTGAGTTTCACAAGCCCATGGTGGGTCTGCCCACATGTGCATGCACACACATAAATAAATGAAATGCAAACATAATTAATCTTTGCAAAGGCTCCTGCAAACACTGACCTCCCAGGCTCTTGGCTTATTTTTATTTTATTTTATTTTATTTGTGACTCTTCATGACATAAACCCAGTGTTTGGACACTGAAACAGGTGAATTAGAAGTAAACTCTCAATCACACCTCTAGGGCATGCATGGTGCATTCATTTGGCTGAAAATTACTTAGGAAAAAATTTTTGGGGTCTTACCTCATGTGTCTCCTGCCTTTTAACCTAACTCTCAGGAAAAGAGAGATTCTCAGGGCTGGCCTTACATCATTCCTGGAGGTGAATGTTGAAACTGCCCAAACAACATTTTCTAATAGCCAGGCATAGTAATTTTAAATACAAGAATAAAAGTGGATTTTGTGGCCAAATGTCTTTTTTCCTTTTCTTTTTTTTTAATTTTCTTTCTTATTTGGTGCATATCATTTTGGAGTTTTGGTATTGGGGATGAAGCCCATGACTGCATACAAGCTCTCCCCAGCCCCTGGTGATTGTTCTGCATCATGAATTCTACTACCTCCATGAAGGGGTCATGGGGATCGGCTCCTGATACCTGCAGTTCAAATGCTGTTCTGCAAGGTTACGACTGTTAACTTGACACAACCTACAATCACTCTACAGAGGCTTTTAATTAGAAATATTTCTTTAGTATTCATTGGTGTAGGAATACTCAACCCACTGTGGGTGACACTGTTCCCTAGGCAGGGTGTCCTGAGCAGTATGAGAGGAGGAAGCCAGCTGAGGGCAAGCAAGGATCCATGTGTTTTCCTGTCTCTGTTCGGACCATGGATGTGCCCCCACTGCTTTAAGTTCCTGCCTTGACTTCCCTGCAATAACAGACCACACTTGGAGATGAGAACCAATGAAACCTTTCTTCCCAGAGCTGCTTTTAGTCAGGGTATTTATCATAGTAACAGAAATTAAGCTAAAATGGATGCACAGGGTGTTACCCACACTGGGTCTCCGACCCTTTTCACCCCACCATGTCCCGGGTGTCATCACAGTGCTACCCCTCTTTCCCAAACAGAGGTGAGTCCAGAGAGCTGTGAACCCTTCCTTCATTTTGCTTTGTGAAATATCAGAGGGAGTGAGCAGACTCATTTCACCCGGTCACATAAGACAAGAAATAACCTGCATGACTGGAAACTACTATCTGAAACTGAGGACACTTTGAGGTCAAATTTGATTTCCTAAATGATAAAAAAGTGGCTATGTCATTGAATGGTGTTTGGAATTGTCATTTGTCTGTTTGATGAGGTTCTACAGGCTGATATCATGTTTTTGGAGCAGGTATATGTATTTATGATTTGTTAATAATGATATTTATCTTTAATAAAAGTTTAATTATAAGCAGCATAAGGCATGTGGGTGGTTCTAACTTACAGCTTATCTGAAGTTATCCATATCCACATGTATGGTCTAAATTATGCTACCTTTTTTTATTGGTCTTTGTGTTTGGAATTTTTTTCAATTTGGCTTTGATTTTGTATGTTTGGAAATATATTGCAGAAGAGTCTTGCTTATGTTTGAAATATAAAAGGACATCTTGTTTCAGTCGTGTTTTGGAAGCCACAGAACTCTGCAGTTTAAAAGGCTTTCAGGTGCCGTGAGCCTTGGGTGAACAGTGTGGCATTCTTGGTAATTATAAAGTAGGCATTCATTTTTTGAAATTGCTTTCTCTCTGGAGTACTTTTCTAATGTTTAAGCCTAAGGAATTAACCTTATGGGTTGACCGGCTGTGCCTTTGACTTCTTTGTTCATTATTTGCTTTTGAGGTGCAGCTTGGATCCTTGATCTCTCATTTGTCACTTAAAAGGAAATAAAGTGGGTGAACCAGAAGTCTCTCTTTGACCTTATCATGATTGCCACAAATCTCATGTGCAGCCCTGGAAATCTCTGCACCCATACTCCATATTACTCATTTCCTCTGCAGCCTCAGAAATTAAGCTAAAGTTGGAAGCAGCAGGGAAGGTCACAGGGCTGTGTATACAAGTGCAAGGTTTCCTGGAGATGGACAGCGTCCAATGGCTCTACTCATTCTCATCCTCACCTGCAACCTTGCCTCTCCATGACAATGTGGAGACTGTCCATGGTCCCCTTGAAGGCTGGTCCTGTCCCACATGCATGCCTGCCTTGTTGCCTCTCCAGCTAGGCTCCCACTGTTATCTGCAGCTCTGCTACACCCTCCCTTCTAGAACATTCCCTCGGCACACAGCATGCTCACCCTCTCTACACAGACTGTCTGCCAGACCACCCCCTCTCCAGTTCTGCCTGCTTTGTCTTTTTCTTAGTGCAAAAACCCTTCCAAAGAACAGCTTTCCCCGTGTTATCTTTCTCCAGCTTGTTTCCCTCATCTCAGAATATCCTGACCATCCTGGTGGGGACAGCACCCTCCCTCTGGTGAGTACTCCTACCACATGGGAGGGCAGAATCCATCCTGCTCCTTCTGCCCCTATCAAGACTTATCATCTATGCATTTCTCTGTTTTATGACAGACACAGTGGTCTGCATTGGATTAAGAAGCCAGAGGAGGTGCAAGGGACATTGTTCCATGAACACAGTGCTTGCTACATGAGCAGATCCCAAGAACCATGTAAAGTTGGGATCAGAAACACGTTATCCCAGCTTCCCTACTGTGAGATAGGAGGTGGAGTCTCCCTGGGAACTTGTAGGACAAGTGATCTGGTACACAAAGTGGCAAATGCCTCAAATAAGATGGAAGGCAAGAATTGATACCAAGGTTGGCCTTGATTTCCACAGATGTGTTGTAATACATGCGTACTAGAATTCACACATAGAAACACACACACAACTGTGATATAAATGATTTCCTTTACATTGCATGTCAACCTGGAGGAGCTTGTTTCCTTTCCACCAAGTGGGTTCTTGGAATCATACTCAGGTTGTCAGGCTGGATGACAAGTGCCTTTACTGGCTAAGCCATTGCACAAGGGAAGTAACTTTTTGTAGCCATAGATGACACTGACTGGCTGGAGAAGCACCAGTTATTGTCACAAAGCCTTATTGATCTGTGTGATCCTATGGTG